TGGTGGTCCTCTTGTTAATGTTGATGGAGAAATTGTTGGTATCAATATTATGAAAGTCATAATAGCAGATGGATTGAGTTTTGCAGTACCAATTGACTCGGTTATCAAAATCATAGAGCACTTCAAGAAGAGTGGGTATATTCTGATTTTCTGTGTGGAACTATTTAGGTGCCTAGATACAAATGTATTACGTACATATATGATATGACATTCAGAGCATTTTTGGTTGATGGAATGGTTATTCCTTGGTCCAAATATAAAATAAGGTAAATTAGATGGAGAGCCTAGCAAATTAGGAATGCCAATTCCATGCTTTTACAACTTTTCTTCAAATAAGTTGGAAAGAGGAAGAAATAGCTAATCACGTCTCCCCCAAGGTATTAGCTATTTCTTCTTCACACTCATTAGAAGAAAAAGTTGTTGCAAGCATGGAATAGCTGCTCCTAATGTGTTGTGCTCTTTATCTAATTTACCTTGCTGAAGGAAGATAACCATTTTGATGAACCTTTTGAAAATTTATTACCATTAAGAACACATTTGAAAATTATGTTGTGAGGGCGGGTTGTTCAAGAGTGATGGTGAAACTTCAAGTTCTTAAATCACCTAGCATATTGAGATGTAAAATTATTAATATTGAAAAATTTACACGTATTCAAAGTTTTTTATTTACCATCAGATCATCCATAAAATGAGATGTCAAACCACAGTAGGCCATGTTGTACAGGAGAGTTGTTCGGCCTTGGCTTGGATTTAAAATGCTTGATCTTAATGACATGATCATTGCTCAACTTAAAGAGAGAGATGTCACATTTCCTAACGTCAAAAAAGGTGTCCTTGTAGCTATGGTATGTTTTCTTCCCATTTTGTTGTTTTTCTGACTTTCTGTATATGCCTATATGGTGCTAATGATCTTGTTCCCGACCATTTAAATATTTACAGGAGTCATTGTGCTCTGTCACTTTCATACTAACTTGCTCCAAATAATGTCCAGGTGACTCCCGGATCTCCTGCTGATCGTGCTGGATTCCATCCTGGTGATGTTGTCATTGAATTTGATGGAAAGCCAGTTGAATCTATCAAGGAGGTATTCAACCATTTTTCTTTCTTTCTGTTTCATGGTTTTACTGGGGGAGAGGTTTTAGCTTGCAGATTTTGCGTGAAGACCTTTTGCCTCCATGACCTGGTTGAATGGTTTAAATTTAAAAAATTGTGCTACAGAATCAAATTAGACTAAAAACGTAGACATAAAATTATCCTATCAGAATGCATTCTTACTGGGAAATCTACATGAACTGTTCTTGCTGAGGTTTTTACCACTGAATCTATGGCAGATCATTGAGATAATGAGCGACAGAATTGGAAAAGCGATAAAGGTGGTTGTGAAAAGAGCAAATGATGAAACGGCCATTTTGACGGTAGTTCCAGAGGAAGCCAATCCAGATATGTGAGATACTACAATTCTGCTGTTTCAGGTTTTCTGTTGATGTGTCATATTTATTGCTTATATTATATTTCCATGTTTCTGAATCTTTGATTTTTCAGATCTTCATAAATGATGAATAAAAATCTCCAAGAAGAACCATTGTACATTATAAACCAAACAAAACCAGTTGGACTAAAAACCTAAAACTGCAAAATTTCAGGTTTTTGCTTTATCACTAGGTTAAGACTTTCTGTTATGTCATAAAGCTAATACTTTACTCTAATGTATTAAAAAAAAAAATTAGGTAAGGCTTCATTAGTATTATGATGTTATCTTGGACCGTTGCTTTATCATTGGAAAGGTTTTTATTGCAATTTCTTGATCTTCTACGGACCGAAGATTAGAAACAAAGAGAGGTAAGTCTTCAACATACTCCCTATCCACCTAATGCACTAGGCCAATTCGCCTGTTATAAGTGGGGACTGGAACAGAATAAGACCAAATCCAAGGATCAAAACTGATCTAAAAAGAAAAATAAATAGTGAACTAAACTCAAGCCCGTGCCAAAGTTGAGGGAATAGCCACTGCAAATATCTCATTTCCATCTTCTTCCTTCATTTCGAACCTGCACTGCAAAGCACCCCGTGGCTGCGTCACCGGAGCAACATCCTGATCCGGCCCACATTCCGGTTTCGAAAAACAGTCCCACCAGACTCACCGGATGCTAAACCATTGTTGGGGGTGGGGAAGCGCATGAGAGACATGCACATGGTTATTTTAGTTTCTTTTCTTTGGAGTGTAATAGTTATTTTAATTTTTAAGCATATGAAGCAAAAATTCGTGAATTATCTTTATTAAAAGACATGTTCCAAACATCATGGATCTGGATTTTGTACTTTCTGCTCCTATCTTTAGCTCAAACTGCCGTAGCACCCCTCCCACGCCTCTTCTCCAGATTAGCTCAGCGATCAAATAATATTGAAATTTCACCAATTTCTTTGTATTGTAATTTGGGAGACCCTTAGTTCGCCCTCCATTTAATTATAAA